ATCTCCGATTTGGGAAAGTCAGTTATTAAAGTATAATGTTCCCATGATGTTTGGCAGCTGAATGTAAAAATCACCCTTATTCACATTTGGGCGTACATGCTCTCATACACTTGGCTAGACACCCTCTCGGAGTTTGGTTCGGCACGATCGGAGTAGAAACATTACTGAGCCTTTTCTCTTTGCCAGCCAGTGGCGTTATTGCAAAAGTCAGGCCTGAAAGGAAGGAATCCATTCGATACGATTCTTATCGTCTACACAGATCTGACCAAACCTGTAGTAAACAACCCAAGGACTTTTTGCTTACAGGACTTTAAGTTTGAGTATGAATGTTAGTTGGTTGAGAAATTGTTATCAAAAGTCAGTCAGAACTACGTGCAAGGTAAGCACACTTTGCAATGCTTAAAGTTCTTTGTCATTCATCAGTAGTGTGATTATTTTCGAGAAATCTTCGGAGGCAGTTCTCTCTTATTTCTCCAACCACCCAAGCCTCTCCATGATCTGTTGACGGCAGTTAGTTTCAGTTGAACCCAGCGGTCGCATCGTTGTCTCCAGCACTTTTCAGGCTATTTATTTTTCTTGTCTTTGTGCAGAAAAGACAACTACAGCGAATAAGTTAATCACTAAACAACACTTTGAACGACATCCGATTCACAGTGGAATGAGGGGACAATGAAAAAAAACAGGTATTTCTTGTAGCGCTCATCAACAGATTGTCAACTACGAACCGAGTTTTTCAGCTACCATCCAAACAATCACAAGAAACAGCATTCGGACACATTTCAAATAATTCGAGACAAAATTCAATACTACCGATCTCAAGATAAGAGAAGGAAGCCTATAAACTAACTTTCAGGGTAACAGACGCTCATGAAGCTTTATGTGGTAAGCGACCAGAGGACCAAGCACAAAAAGGAAGGCGAACAAATCACACCCGCATACATAAAAAAACTTCGCTGAACGGACTGTAAGATGTTTAAGACAACACGATACGACGGTAACCTGCAAACTTTCTTAAACCTCATGAAAAGAGTTTTAAAAACCAAAATGAAAATTGGATTCCAAAATGGAAAAGACTTTCTTAAGAAAGCCAAGTAAGTCATGAACACAAAGGTGCTGCTGAAAGATGTGCGCAAATTTCCTTCATCGTTCTAAACAAACATCGACACTAAGTGTCACAGTCATAACACAAGCTGTGTAGGTATACAGGTTTGACAACAGACTTTCACTGTTCCACCGGAATAATCCTAAAGTTTGATGCAGTGTCACTTTGAAGCGACAGCAGATATTCATTGGCAATGTTAGTAATATGCTTCCGGATTGTTGTGAATACAGTATTTGACTGTCCTCTGGACTGACAAATCTTGGTGTCACGCTGGGCTTTCTTTTGGTCGTTTTGATCAAAGATTTGGCATTTAGGAGAGAGGAAGCGACACAAAAATAAGAACTGCAAATTACCACAGTTCCGGTAAGCTGGTTCTTGCTGTCACGGAATAGGTAATACGTCTGTGTGGTACTCCTCTTGCTTTATTTACTGCAACGAGGTTTGTCAGCTGAACATTCTAATGAACAGAGGAGTCTGATGCCGAATCCATTTTAGATAGCGGCCACATCCAGATGTCTACAACGTTTGTAAAGTTATGACAAGTAGAGAAAATAAGTGACTTGAACTGTTTACTCTAGAGCTTTTGGGGCTGAAGCCCTTCACAGTTGCAGTTTACCCGATCTGCATGCACCACATTAGCTTCTTTGGGTCGTTTGACATTGAACAGTAAATTTGGCGCCTCGACAATCACCTTCACGTTCGGCAGATGTTCTTTCATGTTATTTGCTCTCTAATTCTTCCGTAGCATACAGTTACAACACTGGGTGTGCTCCGCTGATCCCGGCTTTGCGTTATTAATTGTACTCTCGCCTTTTCGGGCAGATACTGCTATAACTATCTGCTACTTCATCTTCCAGATCTCGTTGGTCACTGTCTCCGCTAGTCGCATCTCAGATTTTATATCTATTGCGCTTGAATTAACTGATGCCAGTTTTTCCAGGACGTTACCTATTAATTTGCGCGTTCATCACTGCAAAAAACTGCACGAAAAGAATGCACGCTGGATGGTATCTCCTAGCAATGATGCGGGCATTGTAATCAGGCATCAGTTCATGAAAAACAGAACCAATCGTCTCATGAGAAGTGTAAATGAACTGATCAACACGATGGACAGTTATCGAGCCAACATGGCATCATATATGATCGCGGGGCAGCAGCGCTCAGTGTGTGTGTGTGAATGCTCAACTAAATGCTCAATTGATTATCGTTTGATCCAACCCTAGTATTTCTAGATGCACAGCTGAGATGGCTACCAGTCAGAAACAATTATCTGAACGATGACAACCAGTCGAGTCCCTAAAGCATCCGACCGACACAACAGAGCCTCATTGCGGCGAGCTTGTCGGGTCCAGAAAAGATAGCGCCCGTTTGAAAAATGCGACACACCATGGTGAAGATTTTCGACCTTACTCAGAAAAATCTCAGGCAAGCTTTAAATAATTTGCTGATATTAACCATTTGTACAGCTTCTCACAGACGCTGAAGCTCGACTTTATAATTCCCGTCCTTAATGTGGACTTACCACAATAGCCGCATCAGAACAGCAGGAGGACTGTTCGCAAACCCCAAAAACGCCTAAAACTTTGAAACACCAAATCATGAAGTGAGAATTGGGTGGTTTGTCTCCTTCTGAGCAAAAGTTGGTATGCGCTGAATACTCATTGAATCACAGGATGAGCACTCGATTTCATGACATCCAGTCTACACCAGTGATAGTCCCGTGACAAAACCGAATATAAACCTGTAACCATAGATGAAGAGTCAAGCTGAGTGGACTGAAATCTGCTAAAAAGTTGAAGAGATTCATCAAACAAATTCTTCTGTGCCAACTCAATTTACGAGACAAGCGGTTGACTAAGAAATTGCGAAAAATATCCTGAGCCACGCGACACAGCAGTCGAGGCAGCGAAGTGGTTCATCCATTGCAGAGGAGGACGTCCTATTCAGATCGAATGGTGCATCTGATGGGTAGTATAGAAAGACCAAACATTAGGAGACGCAACCACTCGCAAGTTTTGATCCGCTCCAGCACAAACGACAAAGCTCAAAAGTAATATGAACAAATTCAGCCAAGCTTGTTGCACTTAGATAGCTAATGCCGTTGCGCAAAACGTGGTGAGCACAAACTGTTTACCACTCACTTCGGAGAGTAAAGTAAGTAATCAGTATGGAACATTTAATAACTTCCTCGTTCATTACCGATTATATCGCTTGGTGATAGCAATTGTTAGGTTGATATCAACCAAATGGCCGACTTGAAAAACATGTTCGGTGTACAATAAAGCGTGCATTTCTTGTTGTCACAGTCCTTTCAAATTAGTTTGCTAGACACGGCAGAGTTGGCCCTTCGTATTTACCAGTCGACTATTTCCAAATGGGGTTTGATGTGGGCTTTCCGCCTAACTGCGCGTTTCCAAATTATTTAGAGTTGACGGACTGCTCACTGGTAGGCCGGCTGCGCTTTTCTGCATGACGCAATCCTCTGATGGAGAATTTTACACCGTCTTGTATCACCCATATATATGATATTATTAAAACGCAGGTTGACCCCATTCGGGAGTGTCAAGCATTCGTGTGACATTTCAGTGTAAAGACCCGGTTGGAATTCTTTAGAGCGTAGCACCAGCGAATTCGGTGCACTTTTCAGCTATAGGTTTCAATGCATGGTAGCCGAAGTTGGAATGTTTGACTGCACACAATCATATCATTCTGACGGGCTAGGAATTGAACGTACATTCTGAAAGATTTGGTGGGATTGAAGTTGATTCTGAGCAAACTGGTCAAGCAAAAGATATTAGATGTAAGGACTCCACTTGGTTCCCCTAACGAGAATGTCTGTCCGATGGCAGAATATGACGGAATAACTACAGCGCTGGCATCAAGGCAAAATAACGTACAAACGTAAGTAGGCACCAATTTGGTCATTTTAAAATTACTCGGGATGTGATCGTGATGTGAACATTCTGGTAGGTTACATGGATTGTTCGCGATGCCTGGTGCTGGAGTTTTTGCGTACAAACTGGCAAGTTACAAGACAGGCTTACCATGACATCATTCGTAAACAGTAAACCCTGGAAGGTCTGTGAGTGGAGTTTCAGAATTCTTTGTCAAGCCAACGCATTGTATAAGTCCGCATTTTCGGGGGGACACTTCGTGAGCGAAAGTCAATTTTCCAGGCAAAATTTTTTTAGAGCATACAGTAATTCTCTAGAAATATTACTACTGTTTGCCACTCAATCTTTCTATTGGCTTTCAAACCTGAGTATGTTGTTTAGTCATGCGAGAATCGCATTCTGGTCGGATAATGATGGTTACTTCAATAGTCCCTCCATTTCCAGGTGTTAGTGAATGAACATAAATTTCCCGTGTGTGCTTTGGGTGGTGTAAGGGGCGACCGACATCTAATACGACAATCACTTTACACTTCTAACGGACATTGGCACGTTTAAATTGCCTGTTTGTGTGGACGAATATTGTAGCTGAAATGCGATATCGTTTCAATGCCGCGCTGTGTAATTAGCCAATAGGCGAGAAGTACTGTTTTATCCAGACTAAATGTTTTGATTTTAGCAAACAGTGGATGTAGAAAGTTGACAACTCAACATTGTGCACCAACATTCGATGCGCAGTCGTTAGACAGCAGCGAGAAGAAAGCAACAACAAAACTACAGGGGTAGACTGAACACTACTACGGCAGCAATTGATTGGCTCTGGTTGTCAATAGCTGAGAAAGACCATGCGTTGATACGACTGGTCAGTTGCGCTGAAAGTGAACGCTCGGGGCCTTCCCACCATGTCACCAGTCTGTTCAGTCGACCTGGAGGGACAAGAGTAATGAACACATTGGCTTTACGGTTATATAAGCAGAGTAGCAGTAGACTGCAATCCGTTCGACAGTGTGTGAGCTTACAATTCATTCACCGGTTAGGTTCGTGTGTAAAAATATCTGAACTTGCCAGCGCCAGAACTACGTGGCGTGGATTGCCAGTTCTACAGACTTTGGGACTGATCTGTTCTGAGGAGTTACACAAGAAAATTTCAGAGTAGTAATCTGGCTCAAATTATGCAAGCTGTTCATGAATCCGGCGACGAGGAGAATCCACGAGAAAGGGCGCGAAGAGTGTTGAGTGATGTTTTGGGATTACAGACGGACACCTCAAGTTGCGAAACACCAAATTTAAAAGATGGTGATGATTTCTACTTGCTTGGAGGAGACTCTTTGTTGGTTAGTCATTTCATAATATGACCATGCTCTATTTGTTTCCTTACACACTGTTGTTTCTTAAGATTGCAGTCATTATCATATAAATATCAAGAATTAATTTCAAGGATACTAGTTTTGCTAGGATGTGTCGCACTCTATCCATCCAAAGGGTAGGATGGGGAGGCCCAACGTTACGCCCCGTTAAAATACATTTCATTATGAATCATATTGTTCAGTTCAATAAGATAAACCAAGGGTCCCGACAAACCCTCGTGCATACAAGCCTATATTACTGCTGTATTTCGTTTTATTTTTCATTACACACGCTAGTTACTGTATGAAAAGTCACATTACATAAATAATAAAGCAGAAATGAACGGGACTGTGCGTGCGTTCCTTTTCGGCTGAGATCGTAAAGCAATAGAGCTGGAAAGCATTGGTTTATTAGTCAGGATCAGTTCAATCAGGCGTGGTCAAACCACGACTGTGGACCAACAGATTCATTTTCCGACCCACCTCATCAGTAAAGTTAGTGAAAAAGTTGACGTTTCAGTGTTAATAGTTACTGGACGGGTGGTATTTGGCACAGAATTTGAGCATCTTACCGTGAATTGATATTTTTGAGTAGGTGAATTGGTCGTATCTGTGAACTGCGGACGAATAGTGCAAAAGGTGGAAAAGTCTGTGCATACTACACCATAATAGGATCCCAGGTACTTCTCTCGTGAATCCAAGTGATAATTCGGTTGACAAGCAAAAATGGAACTGTTGGTTGGTCCACTTTTCGTTTGTTTCCACGCAGGCTATGACAAATACTCCTCACATACGACAAAGACAGTCTGGTCAACAAATTTTACCCACCGTGTCCTGTGGAACCAACAGCTTTCAAATACTCTAACTTGAACTAAGTGACCAGATGTATCTAATTCACCCCAGGGCTCGTGATAGGATATGGATGAACAATCAAGGAGCTTGGCTTAAAAGTGGTGACTTGTTTAAATATCTAAAAGATCCAACAGCTTGCACCAAAAGTCGTCACAGCTAGCATTTGTGTCAACTGACGTATGCTATTCGTCTCATCAATCATCATGGATCTCAAAACTTTTGGCATGATCTACATGATAAGATCAACACCAAGCTATATTTCACTTGGAGCTTATGGGTGCTAGCTATGACTCATTGTAAAAAAATCAACAAACTGCTTCTCTTACCCTTGTTGGTTTCCACGTCAGCAATGCACCCTGGTCAGAGTAACCGAAATCACACCTCGCGAGCGATCGATGCGCTCAGACGGTACTTGCAAACATGTTAAACGGGAACCTACAGTTCGCCCGATTGTCCAAATTAGCGTGACTCATCCAAAACGTACGGCTAACGACTTGCCACAATAGGATAGATACTATGCATTACGAGAATTCCCACCTACCTCCACCTACCTGATGGGGTTTAAGTACCGATGTGATTTGCCCACTAAGCCTTCGCCAGCAATTCCGTCAGGCTGTTGGACCCAAGGCCTAACATCGCCAGCTGAGAACAGTCTTGGAATAATCTGTTTGGAGTAATTCGTTGTGCGGTATTCATGACATTCTGTCGATGTAGTTTAGGGCAGCGAAAAACACTTGTTGGGTGTTCCATAAAACTGCAGTAAGGTGCACACAAAAACCAGTCAGTGCTATTAACGCAGACCAACGACAAGAGTACGGGGTTTCCTATGGTTATATACAATGGTTTTATTAGTATTTTTGTTCAAATATTGATTCCGGACATCTATGGAGGTAGCGCCTTTCTGCCACGTCAGTTAGCCTAACCGATGGCGTCGCGCAGCCCAAATTCTGTTGGCCAGACTACTTAACATAACGGATTAACAATTGTGTTTTTTGGATCAACTGGAGTGCCACTGATGATAAATTAGGAGATGATACAGTAAGCAGTAGAATGGTTGAACGTGCACCAGGCATACCGTCTCTCTTATAGCTAAAATATCAGGTGCAACAATAAGTCGATTTGTGTCTGTTTCTAGTACATCGCTTCATTCTCTGTGCTTTTGTTTACATATGATTCACCAGGTACCAAATAATTTCGTTGCATATCCCTCGGATGTAAGGTTTCCAGGCTGTGTGCACTCCCGGTCTGAAGGCTGCCTGTCTCCAATGGTGACGCTGATATCGACAATGGATCACATTCTTTTGTTGTAAATTCCCCCCCCCCCTTTGCGCGATTCGATTTGTGTAATCGATTTGGGAAAATTTTTAGGTCCCATTATGGCTATAGGGCTTCAAGGTAATTCTATACCTATTGCGTGAAAAGCAAAAAGATATTTTGTCTTCGACAGAGTGAGTCACATGAAATCTCGTGAATTTCTGTGGTTCGTTGACTTCTACGCCTCGCAAATTTCTGTATCAATGGACAGAGAGACTAACCCGTTTAGTCTTGAGCAGCATATCGAGACTTAGTGCAAAGTGAGATTGAAAAAACACATTTGATCTGCCCAACAAAGTATGGCAAATAAATGGTAGAGACACAAGGAAATTCTGGTGTTAGGTAACAAAAAATGTTATCTGGTTTCTGATGTCACACAGTGTGCAAGTTTACCGAGAACATTTGTCAGGTTGCGAGGGGGTTTCGCCGTCCAAATGAAACATATGGTGGATGCATTTCTCAGGTTTCCATCAAACTTATTCCTGAACACGAAACAGCGCGCAGCTAACGTCAACTTGATTTGAAGGGTACCATAAAAGCGAGGTGCAGTTGGGAATCAGTTGCGTCTCTCATTAGCATAGAAGTGATCTGCAAATAGGTGTATTTCGCCGAACGTAAAGTCTGGTTTTCAAGTAGAAGAGACGGATGATAAGCCCTAAGAAGAATGAAACCTGCCGTCTGCCATCGAACAGTCATCAGCGAAACTACCACTAGTGTACTTTGCCTCAGTTACTACCAACTTAATTTGCCAATGTGTGTTGTCCTTAACTTATTTGATTTTGGTACATTAGCTAGTACAGTGATAATTGCACTGCTAGAAATTTACAAAATTTATGGAGTTAATATTCTCTATCCAGTGCGTCCGGTGTCAAAGTGTTGTTGGAGTCCGTTGTCCAATTAAGGCGGTAAATGGGATGTGGATTGTAGACCTACATGGGTAGGAAACCATCAGCTGATAACCACGAAATGTTTTCAAGCGAACATAAATGAAGTGAACTATTTTAAGTATAGCAGTGGAAGAATTCGGTGAGCAACAGAATAAGCAATTGAACACACTTGTGCCACACGCTTTACACCTCCGCCTTATTTGGACAAGCCGGTCGGGTTTGCTTAGCATCTATTCATTCAATGGCCAAACGGCCCTAGAAACCGCTATGTGCCAGTGTTATCAAATCAACCGGCTGTGGTCACACCTGAAAAGTACATGTAAATGGCCTTGCACACCGCTCGCCTTAGTTGTGTGTGTACATTGGCTAAACGAGAAAACACCCAGACCACCAGGCGTACCAAAACGATACCGTTTGTCGGTGGCAATCACGCCAGTGAGAAAAGTGCTAATTTGATCAGGGCTAGTCGGCTGTCGCACTGTTTAGAAAGAAGGCCAAGCATGCTCATTAGACCGCTCACTTAGAGTGGAATTCTAAAGCGGAGACGAACCTTGCAAAAGCACCGAGTACCCAGAGGTAGAAAGATATGCTCAAGTGACGTTGTCCCTAGAAATGTAGACTCTTTATCCGCTTTCACTTCAAGATTATACTTACTAGCCGGACAGATTTATTGAGCACAAACCCCAGAATATTTCAGCATTGAACTCAGAGAAGAAAGCGTGGTATTTTCGCCGGCAGTTCAACAGTAAACAGATAGCGGAGATGCTATCGCGAAGTTTTAATAGTATCGTCAGGACCACTTTTAAAGAAGCTTATATGAAATTCTTTTCCAGACGTCCTTCATCAATTCAGTTAGGTAATAAGGTTGTTTATTGTTTCAGGTTTGTCTGTCTACAGCCTGTCAGCCTGCTACTAATTTCGGTGGAATCCCATCTGTTAACAACACGCGATTGCTAAGGGCACCAGTGTCGGTCACAAGTACGGTCTTTAAAAATCATCATTTAACTGTCGTCTCCTTATATTCTCACGTACCCTGGAGGCAGCTGTATCAGGTGTTCTCCCGAGAGCCGTCAATCTATGCCAACAGACAGAATTAGCCAATACCCCCTTCTAAACTTGTCACGTATCTAGGACAGGACTATGAACATTATTTGTATTCTGTCCGGTTGATAAAAGTCTGGAAACAACTGTCAGCTCTTGGTTTCGTTCCAGACAAGGACAATGCAATATTCCGGACAGTACAATCTATGTTTGGATGATCGTATTGTATAAACACCATCCGAGGCTCTTTACCTTAAAACTTTAGCCAGTTTTAGTGGAACAGTTCCAAACCGTCAGAATACGTGGATAAAGATGCCAAGATCAAGATGTCAAATTCAGGCACCAACAGTGGCCATTCTCCGGCACTTTCAGCGTTCACAGGTGTGTTACTGATAGCGAAGGGAATGAGGCCGATTAGTAGGCAATTGTAAGTAAAAGCTCTAAACGTTGTATACGAAATACTTCACATAAAATTGGCAAGACACTTGTAATGGGCAAATTTCAGAAAGACGGTTCGACCATCCTCTTGCCATTGGGATGCTGAGGCACAGCAACAGAGCAGTATTCACACAAAAGTATAACGCATTTTACGGTCGAATGCAACCGACAGTTTTGTGAAATCACATGAAGGTCTTCATGATAGAGAATCAGCTGTGTAAGCATTGACGTGAGCTATTTGCCCAGCTAGTTCCTGTTCAACCTTGTGTTTTGTCCCGCGCACGGTCCGCAACGTGAGCGCCTTGATTTGGTCTGCCCACCAATCGGTCGTGATTGGACAAGTTCGTCCCAGAAGGTGACCGCTTTCCCCTCACACAAGTGTTTGGGTTTCTGTCGCCTTGCTCGGTCAACCAATTATTCATGGAGCTCTTGTTCCACCCCATTTTATACTTTCCA